AAATTCTATGATGGTAATTGAAAGGTGGGGCCTTGAAGAGGTGATTAGATTGCAGGACCATGCCGTAATAAATTGATTAAAAATAGTGGTCATGGGCGTGGTTCTAAGGGCTTTAAAAAGAGAGTGAATGGGGTAGGTTCTTTCTTTTTCTCTCTGCTCTGCCATTTCACAATGTGATATTCTGCTGTTACTGAAGTCACCACCAAAAAAAGCCTTCACCAGATGTGTTCCCAGGACTTTTGACTTCCTGGCCTCAGAAACTAAGCAATAAATTTCATTTTCTTACAAATTACTCAGTTCTGTGTATTTTGTTATAAGCAACAGAAACAGACTAATACACCATCCATCCTGACCATGACCCAAATCAAACAAGCAAAGGAATATGTGACAAACTGGGCATTTGGGACCAACGTACTCCCTCTGTTGCACTAACCTGGCTCAAACAAAATGTGACAATTTAGGAGAGGAAATTCAGTTTGGGACTCAAAGTAAGAATTACTTTTCAAAGTTTCCTTACAGCATTAAAAGCATTTCACTTTTCTCTTAGTCCCTGTTTTAGGGGTCTTAGAAGTGTAATAATACTTCAGTTTCAGGCATATTTTGATGTTGGCCAAATAGAAATATTGATTTCTTAGCTGAAGGACAATACATGTAAGTAGAATCTTTGGGGTAAACATATTTGAGAACACCTATCTAGAAAAGACTTTAGTGAAGAAGAGAGAATATCATAATTAAGGCTTTTAACTATAACCTTCTATATATTATTATAGTGTAAGGAAAATTAGAATGTTTTAAAATCGTGCTAAATAATTATGAGTACTACAAACTGAAGAAAAAGACTTCACAACACTCGAGACAGTTCAAAACTGATTTTCACTTTCCTTTTCATAACCAAGAAAATCACAATTTTTATTACCTATCCTATATAAAGTTAAGGAATTGGAAACTTGACGTTTCTTTTATCAACAGAAATGTATTATACTCATCTTCCTCACTCAAAAAGGTCTTAACTTGAATCAACAGATTTAAAAAACAATAAATTAAGGAGTATTTAACTATAGAAGGCCTATCAGCATCCGACCCTAACAGATTTGATCAACAGGAAATGAAAGGGAAGTAGAATTCAAATCAGTCCAACACTGCTTATTATTCCAGAAAACAGCTGGGGGCAGAAGAATGAACGTGAATAGTATCGGCTTTATCTTGTGATTTCCCTTATAATTCAAATATTCTCACCAGCCAATATAATTCAGAAACAATGATGCCTGACATAAAATTACACATAATAAGGAAGGCTGTGGGAATTTTGTGAACAAGGAGATAGGTAATATCTCCTATGTGCTCTTTATTCCAGGACAAATTGCTTTATTAGGGTAGTGACCTTTTCCCCAGTCACTAAAATATATTCACTGTAGAAATTTTAGAAATTACAGATTAACACTATGAGAAACATAGAAATCACCTATAATCCCACTACCCAAATATAAGTACTATTAACATCTGGTTTATTCCCCACCAATTAATTAGTTTCTGTACATAGGTTATTTATTTATTTTCTCCCCAAAACTAGGATGCCATTTTGTAACTTGCTTTTTTCATTTCTCCTATCAGGAACATTTTTCCATATCATTGAATAGTCTTCCCAACAACCTCACACATTTTTCCCCCATGTTTGTTAATGTGATATGTAAAAATACAGCAAATTATTGCTATGTGAGATTCTTTGATTATTGGGTTGCTAACATCCCCCTTCCCCTAACCCTGGACAATTCAGTTTTCTTTTCCTTTGTGAACTGTCCATCTATATCTACTTTTCATTGAGGATCATAAGGCATTTATCTATCTGTCTTAGTCCATTTAGGCTGCTATAACAAATTGCCATAAATGGAATAGCTTATAAATAGCAGAAATCTATTTCTTACAGTTCTAGAGGCTGAGAAGGCCAAGATCAAAGTGCCAGCAGATTTAATGTCTGAGGAGGGCTCACTCTGTGGTTCATACACCTCTCTCTGAGTCCTCATGTGGTGGAAGAGGCTCTATGGGGCCTCTTTCACAGGGGCACAAATTCAATTCATGAGGCCTACATCCTCATGATTTAATCACCTTCCAGAGGCCTCACCTCCTAATTTTATCACACTGAGGAATAGGAATCGACATATGAATTTTGGGGGAACACAAACATTTGGATCATAGCAATCTCTCACTGCTTTTTATAATGTCTTTTGAAAAGAGCTTACTGGCATATAAAATACAGAGCTTAGTGTTTGTATTTTTTTATGGTGTTTCTTGTGATATTCTGAAAGTGGTATTTTTGTGATTATAAAAATAACAGTTGGTATAGAAGATATGGGAATATCAGAAAAATATACAAAAGGAAATCAAAGCTATAACTCTACCACCAAGAGATACTTTTTTTGTTGTTTTTTTGGTATACGGTATACCAACGTGTATACCCATTAATGCAAAAGGAACTTATAAGCAAACAATAACTACAATAGTTTTGTTTAAAGTTGTTCAGCGTTTGTTGATTTAGAACAACGCGTACATAAGAGCTTAATAAATATTTATTTCAAAGTTATATTTTACACATTCAAGATATTATAGTATTAAATCTTTTTTTCACTCAATACACTGCAAGCATATTTCCAAGCCATTCAGTTTTTTCAAAACGGTTTTGGCAAATGAGTTTTATCAATATGAATATATATCACATTAATTTATTTAAATACATTGCTACTCAGTCTTTGTTTCCATTTTTTTATGTTACAGGTAACACTAATAAGCATATTTATAAATCATCATATGGAATTCAAATGATCTACTTAGGATATATTTCTAGATCCAGGATTTATGGGTCAAAGGCTATGAACATTTACATGTTTTAATACATATTACCCTCAGATAGTTGTACTAATAGACCCTTCATCAAGCAGCATAAAAGAAGTTTCTATTAAGGCCGCAACACTTTTACAAAACTAGTATCACTATTACTTCTTACGCTGCAAATGATTTTTGAAATGAAATAAATTCACTTAAGACAATAGAGAAAGAATAATGTTTTCAAGAAAATGCGCTCACAACTAACCTTTCCTAAATGATAAGGAAAGCTGCTCAGTTTCTATAATTATTGACCAGGAATGGTGATAGCATCAGCAGACATATAATTGCTCCTAGAGTTGATAAACAACTTCTCTTTTTTTAAGCACTATTAAATTTATCTTCATCAATGCATTGTGTTTTGAGAATCCCCCAATAATCTTGCTTGTAGCATATTCTTTGATTTTTCCCTCATTTTTAAAACAAAACAAAACAAAAAACTACTTCCAACTAGATCAGACAATAAATACAATATGCAATGAAGGCTTGAATATGTGGACATTTTTATAAACTCTTAATTTTTAAAATTAATTCTAAGAAGTACATTTGTCTAACAGATGAGTCATCTCGGTTCTATTATAAGTTGTAATCAAATTCTGAGCATTTTCTTTCATCTTACTGACAGTATCAAAATAAATGATATTCTACTCAATTCTATTTAGTCACTAAGAAAAGTATGCAGTTCTTGCTATGCCAAGGTCAAACGTTCCCCACATCCTGCTTTTGACTGCTTAGCTTCTCCATCTTTTTCATACAATTTAACAAATATTAAATTAGCAGTTACAATGTTAGTTTTTAAACTCCTTAAAACTTTTGAATGTTGCTAAGTTCTTTTTCAGTATATAATAGTATCTCATTTTGATACAAACTATCTCAATGCAAGTATGTAATATGTATTTGTAATGAGAATAGAAAACAGTCCAGAAGAAGCAGCCATTACATTTTGGGGTGGACTGGAGTTGGGGTTCACACTGGGGCACTCAATGAGTAACTCATGTATTACACTTTTGTTCTTAACAAGTAAACAAAGATTTTTTTTTTTATGATGGTACTCTTCACAGAAATGCGACCTAGCCCAATTTAAAGGCTGCTACAGTAATATTGGCGGATAAGGAGCCACATCCTTGTTGAACCATCTTTCAAGGTTGATTAGAGTCAGAGACTTGCTCTAAGCCTATAGAATTGTCTCCTTTCAAAGAACTAGCATAATAAAAAGAAGAAATTTTGGTCTTATTTAGATCATGTTCTAAATACCTGAGCTAACATGCCCTTATGGATAAAAATAATTTAAATATATTCTTTCTAAAGACATAGGGTCCCAAGTCACCAATAAGCCCCCCGGACTGGAGGGATTCACTAACTAACCAATGTCTCTCTGCTGTACATGGTAAAGTATGACTGCATCTTTCATAATATGAAATGAACGGTGCCTCAAATAACTAAGGTCTTCAAAGTTAGCGTTTGTGGGAAAGAATGTGGGCTATTTTGTAGCACTCCTTTAAAAACTATTTTTGAGCAAACTCCAGCACATGGAATCAACCCGTGGTTTATTTACTGAGCTAAATTTTCAACACTTTTCCTCTTCGTCACCTTTGAGGCAGATATCCAAAATTGTTTTAAACCGGTCGGTTTCACAACTGGATGAGAAAGGGGGTGTGTGTGTGCGCTGCAAACTCCAGCACATGGAATCAACCCGTGGTTTATTTACTGAGCTAAATTTTCAACACTTTTCCTCTTCGTCACCTTTGAGGCAGATAGCCAAAATTGTTTTAAACCGGTCGGTTTCACAACTGGATGAGAAAGGGGGTGTGTGTGTGCGCGCGCGCACGCGTGCGTGTGCATGTTACCTTTTTATAAATCCCAACATTCAAACAGATAAAATAATTCCCCTTTAGAAATCAAGTGGCTGAAAATGGTGTAATCGCTTCTTTTTTTTCCTTTTTTCTTTTTAAGTTTAAGAACAGCCCAGAGCTCTAGTTTTGAGCCATGTCATCAAACCTAATCGTGACTCGGGGGGTGGGGTGGGGGGCGGTAAGAGAAAAAGAAACAGAAAGAGAAAAGGAGCGTGGGCAGTGAAACGGAAGGCTGGGGAACAGTCAAAGGGGTTCGTCTTTCTCTCTTACCGACTGCTTCCTCGGCACACATCACAGCATGACGATCACGAGTCCCAGTGTGCAAGAATGAACCAGGCATAAATCCGAAGAGTTGGGGGCGCGTTACGCTTCCACGCCAGCCATTTATTTACCTTTGGGAAAAAAAATCACTTAGCTCCCAAACTCAGCTGCCAGAGCCGGCGCCCGAGACTGGGACGAGCCCACGACCTACTTCTTCCTCTCCCCCTCGCCCTCTCCTCCTCCCGGCTCCGCTGGGCTCCGGAGCAGCCCGAGCTTGCGTGAACCGCCAATCGCCCGCCGCCACGCCCCCGTGACGTCAGCGGGGCGGGGGCCTGGCTGCTGCAGGGCTCCCAACTCTAGCTGTTGGACAGAGCTGCCCGCCTGCCCGACACAGATGCCCCAGTGGTCTGGAGCCCTTAAGGTACCACCTCTGACTTTCACAGTACGCATTGCCTGCGGTTGACGGTTTGGTTCATTCATGCTTTGCTGTAATTCTGTTGAACAATTTACTCCTTTACCTAGACTCGAAACATTTGGCAATTATTTAAGGAGGATAAAGAGATCAAATATAAAATTTAATACTGTTTTATAACTAGAAAAGAAGACCGCAATTCTGATGTGGTCTTTTTACTCAGTCTTTTCCCTTCTATTCTCTTACTCAGGATAATGTGGCTTTGTCCATATACTTGCAAGGGTCTGTTTGCTTAAAACTCACGACTTAAAAAAAATACTATTAAATAAATTCCAAAAACCTGTCTGATCTCTCAAAATTTCCACCAAGTGCTTTGAGAAAGGGATAGGCCATTTAGAGAAAGCAAAACCAATAATTTAGAACAAAACCTAATAATCACTGGCTGCCAATTGTTTTATCCCACTGAAGCAAATATAAAAGTGGGCAAAAACCTCCACATCTCTCCTATTTGATACATCTACCACTCTCGCAAATGTTTCTCAAATGTGTAGCAAGAATGAAGAAAATTAAATGATCATGCAAATGTTTGACTATTCGTGAAGAGTTCACCAGGACAGACACAGGGAGCTGGTTGGAGCCTTGAAAACCCTCTCAACCAAGAGAGGCCAAACAAGTTCCTGCACCCACTGAGAAGATGCCTTTGTCAGATTAGGAGAAACAAGTTCTGGGTGTGGCTTCCTGCAATACCCCATTAGGGCAATCTCCTTCTGCAGGCAGGGGCAAATCTCTAGAGCTTAGTCAACTCTGTGAATAAACCCCTTCTAGAAGAGCACACTATCATTTAGGTGGCCTCTGAAATTCCTGCCCTTAGTAGCATTTTTTACAGTTATGTGACTGTCTCTAACATGATTTAAGATGAAACAATTTTTTTTATCTGATAGCCAATCTTCTCGAGGAGACTTAAAACTTCAGATGGGCCTCCCTGGGCTCCTCCAATCAGCGCTCAGTAGAGGGCCTCCTGGGAAGCTGCGTAACAGGATGATTCAGGCACAGAGCTGGCGTTTGCACCCTGTTTGGATTGTTAAAATCAGTGGCTCTAACTAGCTACACATCAGAGTCAACTGGGAGCTTGATGCCAAGGCCTCACCTAGGCCAATTAAACTGGAATCTCTGGGTGTGGGCTCTGTCAATTTCTGTGTTTCTTTTTGTAAACTCCCCTATGGCTCTAATGTGCAGCCAGGGTTGAGAATCACTGCTAATATTTAAATTATTGTCTTAGAGTAAAATTCACATTATATTTAAGTAAAAATAAAATGTGGTGGAAGAATAATGTGAAACATTTTGTAATAAAGCAATTTATCCTGATGTATACATTCTTTATATATTTTATATTTTAATGTAAATATAGGAAATATGTGGCAAGATACACATTGAAACTGTTTATTCAGAGGGGAAAGATAGACAAGTGAGGAGAGATTACTAGCTTTCCATTTGTAACTATATCATTTGACCTAGTGAAAAGAACATGTATCCCTTCTATAACTTAAATATATCTAACCATTTTTAAAAAATTAGTACTTATCAATGCCATGAAGGTCATTGGAAATAGACAAAAAAAAAAAAAGACGTCTCAATGCCTCAGACAATTAAATCTGCTACTTGCAGATGAGCCTTGATTTTAATAACATGATCACAGAATTTTCTTTTTCTTTCCTTAATATTTGCTGAGTGCTAGTGAACTATTTCTGTTAGACACTCCTCTAAGCAGTTTATATCTATTACTTTATTTAGTTCTCTTATCAGCCTTATGAGGTTAGTCTTCATTTAGAGATGAAAAACTTGAGTCACAGAAAGCTGGAACAACTTGCCCGAGATGGAAAGATGGTAGGTGAAAGAGCAGGTCTAAGAGAAAACATTCTTAACCCCAGAATTCTATTCTGGCCTCTTTAGCACAGCTATCAACAAAGTAGGATGATGCATAATAAATTATTTTTGTTGGGAGAGGATGAAACCATGCCATGACTATAAATGCCTTTTTGAGAGGAGAAATTCCATATTTTTAGAAACAACAAGAATACATACATTATTATTACTAGTTGTAAACTTAGAATTTAATTTTACGTGTGTGCATTTTTTAAAGAGGAATTACATTTCCTCTCCTTTATGTCAGCCAAGTCCCTTTCTTCCATATAAGAACAGATTGGCTTTTAACTTTGTAAAAATCCTTGAAATGCAATGATTACAAAGAATATCAGGAAGTGAAGATCCAGACTTTCAGAGATCCAAGCTGTCCCCAGAGTTCTAGATAAGTTTAGATAACAGTCTAGATAATGTGAAGAAAAACACTATTAATAGGACCAGAATATCAGGAAGTGAAGATCCAGACTTTCAGAGATCCAAGCTGTCCCGAGTTCTAGATAAGTTTAGATAACAGTCTAGATAATGTGAAGAAAAACACTATTAATAGGACAGTAGCAGAATTCCTTACACAGATCAATGGCCCTTTAGTCTAGGAAAGATAGTTCATCAGTTTCTTACTTAGATAAAACAAGTCCCAGAGCTTTTGTCTAGGTAGATGTAGTTGAGACAAAGAAGTATACATTTCTCTGAATAAAATATATTTTCCCTACTGGCCAGAAAAAACAAGAGTTTGGAGGCTTTGGAAAGGTGAGGGGTTGAGACCCAGCTCTATCTAGAAAGAAGATAGGAGTCAGCCTCTAAGGAATGGCATACAACCTTGGGCCAGAGATAGAAGAAGACCAATGACAAATTCTCTGAAAAGGTATGGCTGTGATGTCTTTCAGAAGTGATGTCTAGTATTTACTTCTAAGCTGTTTCCTTTTCTGGGGTACTGTAACAAATCAGAGCTCCCCAAGCAATAGGCTATGCTGCAAGATGACAATGTTAGCCCCCAGGACAGTTGCATGGACCTGTGGTGTCTGGAGCCTATCATGGGCAAGGAACCCATGGAGCTGATGAAGGAGAGTCTGTGTTCCAGGTTCCCAAAAAAGCACAGTGAGTAGCCTGACGCAATGTTTGTTGGGGCTGGTAAGGAGGCTGGGCCAGCCTAGCTTCCCATTCTCTGTTTTCACGTATCTTAGATGCCTCTCTCCATTTATAGCTAATGTGGCCTTTCAATGGAATCCAAGCCAGCTGTGGGAAACTGCTCTTTAACACATCTGTTCTACATATTAAAATTTGACATGAAAAATTGAATTGGATTCAAAATCCATTCACATTATCATAGGGAATTTCAATATTACATTACTCAGTGAACTATTAAGTTGAACCACATGCAACTGGCAATATTCAACTAGTTTCTGACATACAAAAATGACAACTTTAGGTAGATCAACTAATAAAAGGAAGGACTGTTAGAGCCTTTAAAGATAATATTAGCTGTTGCAAAATCTGGTAAGATTGTAAAAATCGTTTATAAGTTTTTGTCACATATTTGAGTGAACATAATTTCTCATTGATAGTAGTTATCAAGACTTTGAAGAAATCATTATAAAATATTTATCCAAAAATTTATTTAGCCATTTTAAACATAAAGCCTCACATAAAAATGCCCATAAGAAGAATCCAGGCATAAAAGTCCATATATTGTTTGATTCCATTTCTATGAAATGCCCAAAATAGGTAAATAAACCCATAGAGATAGAAAGAATAGTGGTTGCCAGGGACTGAGGGAGGAGGAGAATGGAAAATGACTGCTGATGGGGAAGGGGTTTCTATTTGGTGCAATGAAAATGTTCTGGGCTTAAAAGGGCTGTACACTTTACAGCGATGAATTTTATGGTGCATGAATTATATCTCAATGAAAAAAATCATATGAGAAAAAATGTTCACTGAAGCAGGCAAAAGACACTCAAAAATTGTTAAATGTTTTATAAGGGAGTTTTATATGAATTCAAAGTTTAATATTTCCCCAATACTTTGAATTTTAAAATTTTTTAATAATTCTATTTTATAAAGAAAACAATGAAATTTTTTACAGAGCTTGGCATGGATCAGTTAATTTACCTCATTGAGCTATACAAATGTTATCTTTTTCTGTGAGTGCCAATACATAAAAAGTGCTGAAAATCTCTGTGCTGTAATATCATCCAACCCTAGTAAAAGTCTGTTCTGCCCACCAGCATCCATTAATATGGCTTAGAGGATTTGGGAAGANATAGAAAGAATAGTGGTTGCCAGGGACTGAGGGAGGAGGAGAATGGAAAATGACTGCTGATTGGGAAGGGGTTTCTATTTGGTGCAATGAAAATGTTCTGGGCTTAAAAGGGCTGTACACTTTACAGCGATAGAAAGAATAGTGGTTGCCAGGGACTGAGGGAGGAGGAGAATGGAAAATGACTGCTGATGGGGAAGGGGTTTCTATTTGGTGCAATGAAAATGTTCTGGGCTTAAAAGGGCTGTACACTTTACAGGGATGAATTTTATGGTGCATGAATTATATCTCAATGAAAAAAATCATATGAGAAAAAATGTTCACTGAAGCAGGCAAAAGACACTCAAAAATTGTTAAATGTTTTATAAGGGAGTTTTATATGAATTCAAAGTTTAATATTTCCCTAATACTTTGAATTTTAAAATTTTTTAATAATTCTATTTTATAAAGAAAACAATGAAATTTTATACAGAGCTTGGCCTCAAAAATTGTTAAATGTTTTATAAGGGAGTTTTATATGAATTCAAAGTTTAATATTTCCCCAATACTTTGAATTTTAAAATTTTTTAATAAT